GAGCCATCGATCCATGTCGCGTCAGGATTTGGATCCCAAGGTACTTCCAGGCCGGTCTTCGGGTCCTTGGCCAGCAGAGATGCCTTCTTGTAGACGAGCGGAACTGAGCAAGAAGTGCATCTACGTAGCGTTAGCATAGCCATAATGGTTCCTTGGTTTCGTGAACTTACACTGCAGACCAGATCATCACGTTCGGCGCTGTGATGTAATTCAAGAGCCTGGGCAATTCGTAGAGCGACGAAGTCGAAACAGGAATGTTCAAGATACGTCGAGTCCGGTTGTATGCTTCTTGAAAGGTCAAATCGCCGAGCAGATCACGCATAACTCTCATGAGATGTGCAATGTCAAAGAGAGCTCCGGACTTCATCAAGCGCATTGCTTTGTTGATCATGCTTTCTGGGTGATCCGGGCTTTCAAATACGTTCAAGTCTCCAAAGCAAAATTGGTGCATAACCTCCGGGATCTCTGCATCAGTCTTTGCGCATAGAACAGCGCTGACGATGCTTCCTGCAGAGGCTCCCGATATGATGCGTGGAAGAAGACGAGCGTCCCAAAGACCCTTGACGACGCCGATGTGGTTCATGCCAAAGGTCCCACCGCCTGAGAGTAACAATGCGCTCCTACCGAATGATTGGCGTGTTTGAAGCAATTGGTCGACTAGTCGCCGCGGCTCGATAGGACACTGATCTCCCTGTTTCTCTGAGACGTCCAGCAAAGCGGCCATAGTTTGCTGGGCCGACTCGATGTACCTCTCGATCAGACGCTTGGTTCCAATGTGCGAGTGCTTGTACAGACGCAGGTCGCCCATGTCGCCCAGTCCGCGTGTGAGGGTGGTCCTGATCAGGAACAGCATCCTCTTCACGTCGCAGCTCATGCGAGCATCGTCCAGCTCTTTCAGCCGGGCAGCAACCAGATCCACATTGTATTCCGGAGTGTCATCCTCTTCTTTCCAGGCTTCGTTTCCTTCTAAGATATCGAGCTCGGTCGCGGCGGCTTTCCATTGGTCGTATGTCTCGGCCTGCGTGGCGATCTCGTCAGCATGTGAAAGGGCACGACCAATCTGAGGAACCCACGTCTTTCATGTGCAGGTACAGGACCTGCCTACGATTTGCTTCCGCAGCATCCACGGCTAATTCAGGAACATGGTAGTCGCCTGCTGGATCGCCCAGAGTCCCCAACGGATTCCTGGCCAGCTGCACCAGGGGTCCGAGGAAGCCGCCATGGCTTTTGCTCTTCCTTATGGATTTCTGCCCATCTTGTCCTCCTCTTACGTGCAGTCGCGTACTGCCGCCTGTAAAGATGGTGTCAGACAGCAATGACATCGAGCGCCGGTACACGCCATGCGCGAATCCTACGAAGCCTGGCTTAGCCGGTGGTAGGAGGATCGGTAGATCGAGTGGTCGTGAAGGCAGCTTGCGGTGGTGTCGAAGTAGGAAAGTCGGTTTCCAGAGAGTCTGTCGCGGTCGAGGGGGTCTGTAGCCTAGTAATAGTGCTTTTCGAGAAGACGCGGTGTAGGGTGGCCGGAGATGGTCAACTGCGGGTGGTCATGCGCCTCGGTCGCGCAAGTCGCGGAAGGTGCGTCACAGGCTTGCCGCTTCAATACTTGTGCAATGTTGTCGCCGGACGACGAAACGAGCGCGAGAAGGGTCGGCATTGACGCCTTTGAAGTATTCGATGCGTGCAGCGCATGCTAGGGAGCGTGGGGACATGCGCATGGTACATCGTCATCGGCAAGGATCAACTAAACAAAGCCGGCGAGGGTGTCGCGTCGGCAGTAGTCATCAACCGACGCTGATACGACACGCATCTTCTACCTGTACCTGCAGGTCCAGTGTTGGCAGACTACTGCACATGCAGCCATGGATCATGTGTCTTATATGTAGCTGGTAGCAAAGGCCGAGAGTCCTCTGACCTGTTGCTGTGCTCAACTCCCAAAAGCCCTTAGTTGTGAACTGTGGGCACGCAGCATTAGTTTAGAAAGGCCGTGTAGCGCCGCGAATAGTTGCTCGTCCGAAATCGCGATCCCGCGCTGCAGACGGCAGATCTGGAGAGAGCTGCAGACGTGGGGCAGCCATCCCTACCTGTTTTGACCGCCATCTTCGATCTTGTGAGTCCACGAGGCTCTATGCATAAGACAATGCACCCTCAAAAAGAATATGGGTGTGACACAGTCAGTCGTGGCCATTCGCACAGGGACCGACCGGCTTACAGCTGGCGCCTCTTTCACATGTCAGACTTACACCCTACTGACTCATACAAAAAAGGAAAGAAGCAACGCAATTGTCCATGTAGATAATCGCCTGTGTTATGGGAATCTATTTCAAGCTACCAGATAGATACTGGCCTTGCCCATGAAATGGTGGCGTGTAGCTGACTCATAACGTCGTTGCCATACCGGGTATCATGCAACTGATAAACAAAAATGCCATACAGTCGCGCCGAAACTCCTTTCAAGCCCACATTTGCACACTCATGCTGTCAAGCATGCCTTACACTACTTCACGACTCTTGCAAGTCTCGGCTCCTCGCTTTGAGTACGCACTACACGGTACCACCCCTTAGGTTTTTCCTCCTGTGTGACTCCTAGATACACCTTGCTGACGTTGCTCAAGCGGGCGAGTGCATTTGACCCGGGTAGCTGGTCCGATAGTAAAAGCTCGGTGAAGGCATCGAGATGCTCGCGACGCAGGCGGTCCTCCATGAACAAGAAGTTGAACATGATGCTATACGAGTCGAAGGCGATTAGGTTGAGCCTGTAAGGCAGGGTCGCTGTTTCCTGGTACATCTGACGACAGACACCGTTGAGCATGGTAAACACCGTGGGCCTCTTAACCCAGGGCTGAGATATCGTCTTAAAGGGATTCTGAGTACCATCGTATACTGTGCACTGATACTTGAAGATGGGTGTAACCCGCTTTACCTTCTTGGGCTTTGTAGGATCAAAGGTAAGGTGATAGGTCTGGTAGCCGATGTTGATAGTCTTACCACCAAGTGTGTACGTGTAGATGAGGTTCCTCACGTTTTCGGGGAGCTGCAGGAGAGGCGAGTCGGTCTGGTTCATTTTGAATCTGATACAGTCAGTTCTGTGCATAAGGTGAGTGTCGTCTGAGACATACTTGCGGGCTTGGTCTGAACTTCTAGACAGACGTTCCCCCATTATAGTTCGCCGTGGTGCTGCAATCTCCTCAGCTTTGTATGTCTTCGGCTGATATGGTGCTTTCGGCTGCTCGTTTTTAATGACCCGCTCGAAGAGCCGTGATGTCTGGTTTGGCGCCGTGGGTGACGACTTGAGTATCGCCGGCTCGCTCCTGTGAGTGATTCCCTTGTACCGCGCGAAATTCTCATCTCTCCGTGCTTGCTGGTGGGCTTTCTTCTGGGCCTCCGCTGGTGGCGTTGGCAGAGAGCCGTTCCTCGCCCAGCCATTTTGTTCTCTCGACTTGTGCCTCGTTTTCATAAGGCCTTTGAAATTCTCACGGTCACCCTGGGCACTGCGCTGATGCGGCTTTGGGGCTTGGTGCTTCTTGTTTTCGAGAACCTTATCGAAGATGGAGCGCGGAGGGTTCATGTCGTCATCAGGAATGGAGACGGGACCGTTGAACCAGGATTTCTTTCCTCGTCGGCTTGAGGGTGGTGTCGGTAGCCGCAATCCATTTGGTTCGGTATTTGTTCTAGGACGCTTGTGACGGTCGTCGTTCTCATCTGCTGGATCGCGGTCGTGAGGTGCGCGACGTTTGTTTGGGCGCCGTGAATAAGTGACTTTTCCCGCCATTTTGCGGAAGAAGTTGATGACTTTTGAGAGAAGTGCGAAAATGGCGAGTTCGGATTGGGGAGAGCAAGTTTCCCTCGCCGCAACCGAAGAAAGTGCGAGGCTGCTCTATTGTGGCAGGTGCAGTTTGATCCACCTATTACCAATTAAGGTAGCGACTCGTTAAATGAAAGAATAACGAAGAAAGGAAAGTGAGTGAAGCTGGTCGTGGAGACCCAGTGTGCGTGCTTTCGCAGACTTGAGCAGCTTACCACGCGCAACAGCCGCTGCAGGTGGTTAAGCAAGCAAACCCAGGGCGTGAGTACGGTGCGTAGGAGTGATTGCGTTCCCTGAACCGTCGAACGATGCCTACGCGAAATCCCAAAGCCCAACGAACCTGTGTGCACGACGATCGGATGTAGAAATAGATCTCCGCTTGTCGCGGTCTCACGTGGGATAGTAGTAGTCATCAACGATGAATTTGGTTAGCGGCCGGTTCTTAGTGGCACCGTTTCTGAGGCAGCACAAACCTCGCCGGGCACATCATCAAGAGAAGAGCTACCCGCGTGTCTGGATGCCAACGTAGCCGTAGATAAAGACTCATGTTCTTCTTCGTTTGTTAGGTCGCGGGAGCAGATTTTGAGCATTGCGACGTATCTCGTCGTCTTCAATCTTACCCCAGCCATGGCCTCCGCTCGGGTCGACAAGAAGAAGGTCTTTTCATTACTCTATGATCGCAACACTCTAGTAACTCGCAAGAGGACCTCTTTAATTGGAAATACTCTGCAAAGTCAAGCATGCGAAGTCCCTCTCGAGGTGAGAGACGCCGTTGCCCCGTGACGTGGCTTTGCTCTTCCCAGTCCTGCCTCCTCTTCCATTCTCGAGTCTTCAGATCATCTTGTCATCTCGCTTTTCCGAGCATAGTCTTTTCACGTACAGCAATATCCAAAGTTTCCATCGCATAGCTACAATTCCATTCCAGTAAGCCCCTTAGTTGAGTTGAGTCTCGCTCCTACCTGGTGGTCTTTCGATACTAGCAAGTCGACGTCATTTCGTGGTCACCCAGCAAACATTTGAGCTGCTGGTGCTCCAGGCTGCTGCTTCCGCTTCGGGAAGGCGTGCTCACCTCGACTCCAACCCGCGGCAAGAGCTAGTCGGCTGCCTCGTCAACAACGTTGGCCGCACTTCTTCTTCCAACCTTGTCTCAACATCTGCGAACTCAGTATCTCCTAGCGCTCGCGCTCGCAAAGTGAGCATGCCTTTCCTCACGCCCAAGAATACAGGTGAGCTTTCTCGATGACGCTGCAGGTCAATCTGCTGCTATGTTGGTATGGAAACGCTGACCGATGTATAGTGAGCGCGGCCCCGGCCTTTGTATGGGATGCCTTCCCTGCACCGCCCCCGGAGGCTGAGACGTGTATGTATGCCCATACTTGAGCACACATAAGACATCGCTGACTTAGTGAATAGGGACACCAGATCCTGATTGCATCGCCAGGCCCGGAGATCTTCCAGATCCTCGGTTCAACCGTGACCCGGAACATGACCGTCGTAGCAAGTCCTTTCGAAAGGAAGCGAAGATGCTTGCTGCAGCACAACAACACAGCCAGCTGCCGGAGTCAACATCTACAAACGGTAAATCTCTAGGTCTTGGGATCGGTGCATGGCCTGCTCCAGCTCCACGCAGTACAGGTTACCCTCGTGACCTGGTGCGAGGCTCTGGCTCTCCCTCACCTCCGGCGGACCCTGTCGGCGAAAACGTTCAAATCTCTAGGCCCAAGCTAGCTGCAACGAAGCCAGTCGCACGCGTCGCAGGTCCTCCCAAGGGCACAATGGAGCTCATGTCTGCGCCATACCATCGCCGTCCAGAGACGCCAGTCGCATCAAAGGCTTCCACACGCTCAGTTTCACCCGTAAAGAGGCAACTCTCGGCATGGGAGCTCACGATGGAGAAGGCACTTGCCGAAGCTGCTCCAGCGGCCACTGCAAATGTCTCGACTCGACCTGAGACTAGTCGCAAGAAGTCCATGCCTCCGCACCTGAGAGGCAAGCCAGACGAGACTATCAAAGCAGCTCATCAGAAGTCCGTCACAGTCAGCCTGAACCCGAATGCCAAGGTATATGAGGCTCCGGCCGAACAAGAGGAGGTGGTTGAGAAGGAGGTAGGCGAATTCGAAGATAAGATCTTAGCATGGCAAGTGGTTATGGAAGATCCCGGTATACAGGATCCTAGAGATGTAAGTCTTAGAAAAACTATACTTCCAACATGTACTAATATGCTTTAGGGCTTGCGCATGCAGCAAGAGCTGCTGAACCGATACATCGTCAACAACCAGCTTCCTCCTCCTCTTCCTCCTCCTACTACTACCGCCGCCACCGCAACCACCGTCAGCAATCGTGTACACGTTGATCATGCCACCAAGATCAAAGTGTTGCTCATACGCGCCATGGAACACGAGATGGATCTTGAGAAGGTTGCACCCGAGCGAGAGCTCATGGTTATGCAGCGCGCTGAGCTTGACAGTTACTGTAACAAAGTCAGCTCTGCCCACAAGCACTGGTGGCAGGCTATGGGACCGGCATGAACTGTATCACATCCCGAGTATGCATCGAAACGGCGGCTTATGTGGTATGCATATACTTCCTTTCCTGGAAGACCCACGCTAATCGCAGACACACACAGGCTCTCACTTCACGAGCGGACATTCGCCCGCCACCATCCAAAGTTCGGTGCTAGTTTAGGAGTCGGAGTTCCGGGGGAGAATTATCTTGATCATTAGTATGCCCATCTTCTTGACTATCATGGTCAAAGTGGAAGGACTCTGCTACTCGATGGGGAGGACGCATTGGTGAACACCTCTGCACAGCAGAAGCGACGTCTGCGACTGGTGCATGCGCATATCTAAGCCATCAGTGGAAACAATACATGACACGAATATCATTGCGCGTCTAGACAACTCGTGCACTGTGAAGTCTCGTGGCAAATCCTTTGACACCACTCATTGTTGGTGGTTTGCTGATCACCGAACAATGAGCGTTTGTCTCCGAACAGAGAGACATGCGACTGACTGCTTGCTTGTGACGTTTCAAAGTCGCGTTTGTAGTGCGTATAGAAGTGACACAACTCTTCATTTCATGCTGGTAATAGCTGAGTATCAGCGCCGCTATGTCAACGCAACGCCAAGATTCGCAGCACGAAGCCACACGGGGCGCTGTCAGTACCAAAGTGGTAAATAGCGACTCCTCGATGAACCTAGAGATGGCCTACGACTATGCAAAGCACATGAACTCAAGCGAGAGGAGTGCGCCCATGCCAGACACAAAGACGCTCGGGATGGAACAGGACGGCAAGCCATTCATCACACTCACATCCTATAACTGCGACTCCACTTCTCGTTCCCCAGTCGAATCCCGGCCACTGGTGCATCTCTTCAAACCCATCAGCGAAGATGAGATACGCAACCATACGACCCACATAACTTCGACATCCTGTGCCGAGGAAGAGATGGTGGCACGTACGCAGTTGAGGGCAGAGTTGGACGCGCATTTCCATGTTCTACAGCGCGAGTTTGAGTGCAAAAGGGGAATTAGCTGGACACCGTTGCGGCCGTGGGGTGACGAAGAGTGGGAGTGGAGCGATGATGGCAGCAATGAGGGGGACAATGTGTTCGAGTGGTCCTGAGAATCACATGCGCGGCTGGAGAGGCGGAGCATCGTGAGGTGGTGATGAGGTATTGTTCATGTGACTTGCGCACTTGCTCGGGCCAATGGAGAGCGATGTAGATAGAGTGTGGGGAGCATACGCGAGAGGGTGTTGCTCACGTGCCTCTCAAAATGGCTGGAAATGGTAAACTGGTACGCTACTTTTGAGCGAGGGGTTTCGGCCCATGATGTGCCTGCATCATTGTAGTGGTTTTAGTGGTAATAGTTCCCCGCGTTGTTCCGAACCAGACTTTCATTCCTGGGGAGGGGTTGGTGTGCATGAACTTACGTCTGTCGAGCAGAGGGTGTTGCGAGGTGTTTTTGAATGCCGTTCCAGGCTAGCAGCGTCTCTGCTTGAGTCCATTTATGAGCGGAAATATGGTCGCATTGAATCGAAGAAAATGATGCTGGTAATCGCGAGCAAATGTGCGCGGACGCATTCGAGGACCATGGTAGTAGGGGGCGGGCCGTCTCGCGCTTCCGTCAACGGGGTCCACTACATCGAGGTGTATTGCATATGTGCTGACCTTTGTCAGTACAGAGCTGGGGCTCTCGTCCCAAGTTCCATCGCCGTGCATGCCAGCCATAAGATCTGTCGCCTCCCCGCACTCTCCATCTTTCAACCTTCACATTCCCAGACTTACCACCGACTGCACTCTGCCTTATCTAGAGTTCAGTGTCTTACAGGCCGTTCAACTTCCACGACTGAACTTACTGATAACATCCAAATCATGACGACCCAAGTTAGGAACGACAGCGACGCCAGTTCTGGTGGCTCTGGCCCTCGCAACAAGCAAGCTGCGGATGCGATTGAGATGGTCGCGACACACAGCCGTCAAGCTCAACCCAGCGGCCCCCTGGAGCTCAATGAAGTGAACGCATATGAGAAGACCGGGTATGCGTTCTCAAACAAGAAGAAATGGGCGATTTTGACTGTCGTTGGACTCTGCCAAACCAGCATGAGTAAGTGGTCTTGCCAACCGTCTAGTCATACGAGGCTAACAAACGACAGACTATAACGCAGCGGTCTACTCCAACGCAATTGGGCCGCTCAACGAGCACTACCATCTCGGCAGCAACCATTTTACCAACGCAAGAGCGGGTATGGCTTGGTTTTTGATCCTGTACGGTATTGGGTGCGAACTATGGGCACCCTGGTCCGAGGAGTACGGACGTTGGCCAGTCATGCAGATATCCCTCTTCACTGTCAACATCTGGCAGATCATGGCCGGTGCCAGTACGTCCTGGGGCCATGTGCTGGCTGCGCGTCTGCTCGGCGGTATCTGCTCTGCCGGCGGCTCCGTCACACTCGGAATGGTTGCGGACATGTTCGATCCCGAAGATCAGCAGCTCCCTATCCTCTGGGTCAGCTTGTGGAGCTGTCTAGGTTCAGGTATGTAAAGCTCATGTCGTAGATGTCTGAGGAATGGAATGCTAATTGTCTCCAGTAATTGGCGGCATCTGTGGAGGGCCCATCGAGCAATTCCTTCACTGGCGATGGAACTTCTGGATCCAGCTTATCCTAGGCGCCACTGTTCAGTTCGTTCACTTCTGCTTCGTGCCGGAGACCAGGTCGACAATCATGCTTAACAAGGTAGCCAAGAAGCAACGCAAGCAGAACCCAGATGCCAATGTCGTCGGTCCGACCGAGACGGAGAAGCTGAACTTAAAGAAATGCGGCAAGATCATGGGTCGGCCATACAAGATGCTGGTCTGTGAACCGATCGTTGGCTTCCTGTCGCTGCTCAGTGGATTCAGCGACGCCCTCATCTTCAGTTTCCTCGAGTCATACGGCTACGTATTCGGTAAGGACGGATGGGGCTTCACTCCTAGTCAGCTAGGGCTCGCCTTGTTCGCTCTTTTCATCGGCTACTGGCTAGCAGCAGTGCTTTACGTACCCGTCATCCGAAAACACAATCAGCAGCGCAGCAACGGGAAAGTGCTGAGTCCCGAAAGCCGACTATCAGCCCTCCGCTGGATCGTCTTGCTCCTGCCGATTGGCCTATTCGGGTCAGCGTTTGTAGTAGCCGGCCCACCCCTTCCCTGGATTGCGCCCCTCATCTTCGCGGTCCTGATCGGATGCGCAAATCTCGCCATCTACTTCGCCACGATCGACTACATGGTTGCCGCGTACGGAGGCACGTATTCCGCTTCAGCCACCGGTGGTAATGGCTTCGCTCGAGACGTCCTTGCCGGTATTTGCTCCTTCTACACCGGTCCGATGTACAAGAAGCTCGGTGTTACAAATTCGACTTGGGTCTTGTTCGCGATCTCCGCTCTCGTTTGCGCCCCGGTCTTCTTCATCTATAAATGGGGCCCTACTATGAGAGCTAAGAGTCTGTATGCTGAGCGAATCCAGCAGGAGAGAGAAAAGAACGCCGCTGCCAAACAAGCAATGCGGGAAGCTTCAGAGACTGTGTCTGAGGTGCAGGCATGAAATGGGATGGAAGAAGATGTTGTGTTGTCGTTATTTTTAGGTCGATCGCTCGTCTGCTGTTCGTTTTGTGATACCCAAGAGGGTCACAGTTTTGGGTTGCGCGAGTTGCTGGTAGAATACTGTAGATATCCTAATGGACATTTTACCTTCATCGCGTCACAAGTGAATGGCTACTCGTTCACTGTGAAGAACATGTATCTGGGGATCTTCCGGGCACCCAGAAAAGTTTCGGCATGGGAGAATGAGTATAATAGGTGGTTGCGGGTTGGGGATCCTTGGACAGGTTGATAATTGTAGTCATGAAGCTCTAAAGTCGCAGTTTGGTCCATGCAAAGACGCCAAGCTTAGTGCAATATCATGGTGACCTTAGAAGAGTGACTTTGTAGTTTGTTGTGACGCTGGTATTAGTGATGGGTGATGCCTGATCGCGATTGCTGGAATCGTGAAGAGGAAGCAGGAGCGCTAGCGTCTCACCTGACACCGCGACATCGCGCATGGACTCGGCGCACTTCAGCCTAGAGTCGTGAACACAGCCAACGCCACAAGAGAACATTGCGCGCGCAGTCTCACCGCGAGCACGACAATGCGCATCCCACCCGCCGTCCCTCTACACACCTTGTAGCCCTCTTGTACCGACGCCCCCGCAATGTGGTTTCTGGAGCACGAGAGCCTCTTCGGAGGCAAGCGCGTGTGGCTCCGCCCCGGATCACAGCAACTATTCGGTCGCACCAAATCAGACGATAAAGATGGCCCACAAGGAAAAAATTGGAAAATCGACAACAAGGCGGTCTCGCGCAAGCATGTTATGCTGAAGGTGTATGACGCAGCACCAGAAGACGGCACAAAGCTTCACAAGAGGTCACAGATTGAGGTGACGGATCTGAGTTGCAGGCAGGGAGTCACAATCGACGAGAAAACTACATTGAAGAGCCAGAAGGCCTCCGATGGGTCGATAGAATACAGCCGCGAGACCCTGAAAGGCACCGAACATACCATCAGATTGGCTGCCAGCTATGCGCCGTTCAAGATTGTCTGGCGCCCAGTCGTCTTTACGTATGCTTCAAAGGAGTCAAAAGAGAACAAAGCCCGCAGCGCGGAACTACACACCCTAGATATCAAGACTACTACCGATTTCGTATTCGACAAGACCACCCACGTCGTATCCGCAAAACGGAACCTTCCCAAAGTCCTCTCGGGTCTGACTTCAGCCAAACACATCGTCACTACAGAGTTCCTCGATAAAGTCCTCGTTGTGGCTGCTCCATCGGTCGATGAAGAAAACAATTACTTGCCTTCGAAGCTAGAAGAGGATTTCGATGCATGGTGGCCAGCGGAGAAGGAATACATACCTGGAATTGACAAAGAGCCGGTTCACCAGCCACATGAGATGTTGCTACCTGATCCCTCGCGGTCAGAAGTCTTCTCTGGGCTGACCTTTATATTTCTGAGCGAAAGCCAACACAGTAGCTTGCTGGATCCCGTCACTGGTGGAGGCGGCAAGGCATTACTATACAATCTACAACTTGGCGAGACAACGGTAGACGAGTATGTCGATTACGTCCACAACGTGGCAGGAAAGAAGCGACGCGGCAAACCTGGCGACAAGCTTCCTGTCATAACGGTGCGCTTGAACGTACTAGTCGAGGACGAATGGCTCAAGAGCTTTCGGATCGGCGTCGATCAGGCACTTGGGCAGCGCTCAATCGAACAGAAGGAGTTTCTCGACACGATTCTCACAGGGGACCGTGCCTCAATACAAAGCCCGCCCGCAGACGTGATTGCTACTGCACCACCAGAGGTCGCAAGCAGTCGCCGGTCTATGCGTCAACCAACACCAATGTCTGAATTTAGAGCACCGTCGCAGGCCCCCGAGGAGAACCAACCTCCTGCGGAAGAGCCCGCAAAGATCAATCCACGAAAGCGGATCCACCGGCCAAAGACGAGCCGCTTCACGGGCTTTGATGATGACGAGCCCATCCCGAAGAAGAAGCTGAAGGTTGAAAATCCTCCAGTGGAAGACGTACAGCAGTCTGTACAACCACGAGGAGTATCGATGACAGCTTCGCAAGCACGCAACGCATCAGGTACACCAAGTCAACCTTCTCCGCCATCAAACGCCCGAAAGACGATCGAGAAAGAAGAGCAGATGGATACCCTGTTCCCGACGGCCGCCAAGATGAGGGCACAAAGAGCGGCTACGCGTGCCCCATCTGCTTCTGTGGAGCCCGAAGAAGGGGGCCCGGTGAAGAGAGCGTCCACTATAGCAGCTGCCCGGGAGCGACTCAACTTGGCAAAAGACAAGTCCGAAAAGGAAATCAATATCCGCGAGCATACCCGTAAGCGCATCAAAGAAGAAGAGGAGCGTCGCAAGGCAGACGAGGAGAGCTTGCGAGAAGCGCTGGAAGGTATCGACATCACTGAGCTGAAGAACCTGGCCCAAATAGAAGAGATGGACGTTCTACCTCGGCAGAACAGAGGCCCTTCGCGCAATCAAAGTCAACCCAATAACGAGCGCTGGAACGCTGAGTGGAACGGCCGCAAGAACTTTAAGAAGTTCCGTCGCCGTGGTGCCGAACAAGGCGTCCAAGCCCACAAAGTCATCGTCACGCTTGAAGAAGCACCAGCCAAGAAGGGCTTCGGCCTCACTGACGCCTTCTTCCTCGAAGACACCGAGCCCTCTTTCCGTTCACGCGATAGCCGGCGCGGTCGCAACGCAGCAGCGGACGATTCGTCAGAGCCAGAAGTCGGTGGCTTCACTCGTCGAAAACGGACCACGCAGTCTCAGGCGCAGCAAGAAGTGATTAATGTGGAAGATAGCGGACCGGACGACGAGGAGGTTCCGGAACAACGAACGCAGAAGAGTAGTGGACGGACGCAGAGGGTTGTAGAGACACAGCTTGAGGGTACGCAGACGCAGAGGGGGAAGAAGAGAGGATCTGACGCTGCGAGTGGGCAGCCTGCTAGTAAGAAGGGGAGGTTTGGCAGAAGGGACGACGATAGCGATGATGAGGAGACTGGATTTAGGTTCAAAAGGAGGACATGAGAGTAGGGTCATCAGTCTGTTTTCTTGATTCACACATACGCATATGATACCCTGCATCCAGTGGGTAGCGATAGCCAAACAGGCCTGAATTTATCGATAGCGAAGAGAGGGCATGTTGGAATAATTTTGATTCGTAATCTCATAGACAATGGTTTCGCCCCAACGCCGTCTGCCTGCTAATCGAGAGGGAAACTCGACGCCGTGCTCTTCATCCAACTTCCATGCCATTCAGGTATCGCCAAGCTGTGCCCGACGCACCACGACTCATCTAGCCAGCCCCAGCTGCCAGAGCTTCTAGTCGCCCGCCTCGTGTAGCGTTTCATCTTCCGCACATCCGCAGATCACATATTCGCCGTGACTTCGTCGCTGATTGTGGGTATACAACGCATCTATCGCTTGCGCTCAAAGTAGGAACTGGAACCGAAGAAGGCGACGCTTTGGTCCATGACGGTCTCGCCGACCCAGAGGTAGCTCTCGAACCATTTCTGGGCGCTGGGGTTTTCGCCGAAAGTATCTGGCTTCACACTGGGTCTGGGTTTAGCTTTAGCTCCGATCTTGTAGTTTTGCGCGGCTCGAAACGGGGGGTTGTGGAGGGGTGGGTTGGGTGGCGCTTAGGAGGGATGGATGGGAACATACGTGAGGCCAGTTGAGCGGCGGACGCCGGCGAGGAAGGCGGATACTGGGGTGCTGTTAGCGATGAATATGGTCGTGCGAAAGTGAGGGTGCGTACTTAATACCGCATCGAAGGCGTAATGTGCGACTTTGCCGAGCTGTTACTTGTGTGAGTTACGGAGCATGCGACTCGGTGGTCCACAAACGCAGTAGTAGAGTAGTAGACATACGACCATGATGGGCGACGTGGGAGGAGGCGGATGAATGTGAGGCTACGTGAGGCTGCTTGGGGAGAGCGTGGCGACTGGGGTTCAGGAGGTTCGGTGGGTGTGGGTGTTGTTGTTGAGTGCAGGATGCGGGATGCGGTGTAGAGTGGAGGTGTGGCTGGTGCCCTTCCTTAGTCACTTGTCTGCATGTGATTGCGCTGGCACACGACCTCAGGGTTCCCTAGTGTAGAGGGTCTAAAAGCCGATGTGACAGGTGCATCAATTCAATCGAGCTCAGGTGCTACCCGTAGATGGGCATGCCCGTCGCGGGACTATCTCTATCGACTACCTATGCGACTGTCCGCGATGTCCTACAGGCTCAGATGCGCAGAACGGTCCCCACTAATATGGAACTGGACCGTATTGTCGCATCAATGGGACCTTCCCTTTGACCTCGGGCAAGCATGCGGAGCAGCTGCGGGTGATTTAGGAGCGGACCCTACGACAGGTGCGCCTGCTATATAACAAGGGCCTGCCGCGACGATGTCTTGCTCTTGACCCCATGAAACCTCCAAGACACGACCATCTCCGCGCGGGTAACCCACTGAAAAATCCATTACACGCCAGCAGCCGGCCGCGCACCAGCACAACCGCCCACTAGCCGGATACGCCCAGAGCGAAGGCGCCGAGATTTTTCAATCGCTTTGCAAATGCGCGTCGGATGGCTGGCTTATCTGGGCGGGATGTTCAAGGGCAATGAGGCGACAACGTGGGCGGAGTGGAAGAAGCAAATGGGCGTCACGACAGTCAACCATGGGACGTGTCCAGCAGGCAGTCGGCCCAGGGTTCGGCGCATAACGAAAGACTCTTATTCAACCAAACCGTCTCCAGACCATTTTCTGACTGCAATCTGTTTCCAATTCTCATATCCAAACCGCCGCAGGGTGCAGCAGCCCCACGTACTAAGCAGCATACTAGCGCGCTACTAACTGCCCCTCCAAAACACGCTCAACAGCCAACAAAACTTCTAGCCCGTCGCAGCACAAGATAAACCCGTCGACCGCCGTTTTCCAGAGAGCAGCTTGTTCTTCTCTCTTCCTCTCATCCCCCAGCCGTCGCGCATTCAATTGGAGTCCCTCATACAGACTCTCTAACCGGCCCCGCACTCCGCGACAGCGACTCAGTCTTCCCCCTTCACAGCCCTCTTCTGAACACTATCAGCAGAAATGGCAAACGCGTACGTATAGATTATTCTCCTACAACAGAACGCCAGCAGTTCTTCATAGAAACTCTAGAAGTCAAGCTCGTATCTTCACGCGTTACAAGTTGCTTCTACATAGAAGCATCCAACTCCAACACCCACTGACAGCAATACAGTCTAGACCACCTCAACTCCGGCAGGACCAGGATCGAGTGGCTCAGCCAGCTCAACACTGAGTACACACCTGCCAAGGAGTACCGAAGAACCTCCATCATCTGTACCATCGGTCCCAAGACAAACTCCGCCGAGAAGATCAACTCCCTCCGCAAAGTTGGTCTCAATGTCGTTCGCATGAACTTCTCCCACGGCTCCTACGAGTACCACCAGTCCGTCATCGACCATGCGCGCGAGGCGGAGAGGACACAGCCCGGCCGGCCTCTGGCCATTGCCCTTGACACCAAGGGCCCAGAGATCCGAACTGGTAACACTGTGGGCGATGCCGACATCCCCATCAAGGCTGGCTCCATCATAAACATCACCACCGACGACCAATATGCCACGGCATGCGACGATAAGAACATGTACGTCGACTACAAGAACATCACCAAGGTCATCGCACCTGGTCGCATAATCTACGTCGATGACGGTGTTCTCTCATTCGAGGTCCTCGAGATTACAGACGACCAGACACTCAAGTGCAAGTGTGTCAACAACGGCAAGATCTCGTCGAGGAAGGGTGTCAACCTGCCCAAGACCGACATTGATCTTCCCCCGCTATCCGAGAAGGACAAGGCCGATCTCAAGTTCGGTGTCAAGAACAAGGTCGACATGGTCTTCGCCTCGTTCATCCGCCGTGGCAGCGACATCACTGCCATCCGTGAGGTGCTCGGCGAGGAGGGCAAGGACATCCAGATCATTGCCAAGGTCGAGAACCAGCAAGGTGTGAACAACTTCGACGAGATCCTGAGGGAGACCGACGGTGTCATGGTCGCTCGTGGTGACCTTGGTATCGAGATCCCGCCCAGCCAGGTCTTCATCGCCCAGAAGATGATGATCACTAAGTGCAACATTGCCGGAAAGCCCGTCATCTGCGCAACCCAGATGCTCGAGTCCATGACCTACAACCCGCGCCCGACTCGCGCTGAAGTCAGCGATGTCGGTAACGCTGTTCTCGACGGTGCCGACTGTGTCATGTTGTCTGGAGAGACCGCCAAGGGTGACTACCCCGTCGAGGCCGTCACCATGATGCACGAGACCTGCCTGCTCGCCGAGGTTGCTATCCCATACGTCAACGCGTTCGATGAGCTGAGGAAGCTGGCACCCGTCCCATGCCCTACTACCGAGACCTGTGCCATGGCTGCCGTCAGTGCCAGTCTCGAGCAGAACGCTGGCGCCATCTTGGTCCTGACCACGAGGTGAGTCTCCTAGCATGTTGTACATTTGTGATTCTAACGTGCATTAGTGGTACCACCGCCCGCCTCGTCTCCAAGTACCGCCCCGTCTGCCCTATCATCATGGTTACCCGCAACGAGATGGCTGCTAGGGTAAGTTTTGCTTTTTCCAGTGTACAGGGATTCCCTTGGCTAACTTGAGTAGTATTCACACCTGTACCGCGGCGTTTACCCATTCTACTTCCCCGAGAAGAAGCCCGACTTCAAGACGGAGCCATGGCAGGAGGATGTTGACCGCCGTTTGAAGTGGGGAATCATGAACGCCATCAAGCTCGGTGTTCTCAGCAAGGGAGATCCAGTTATCTGCGTACAGGGCTGGAGGGGAGGAATGGGACACACCAACACACTCCGCATTGTCCCAGCGCAGGAAGACCTTGGCCTTGACCAAGACGCGTGAAGGTAGCGTCGGAGCGGACGTTTGGTTGTTTAGATAGAAGGTGTGGAGTGCGCTGCACAGGAGGCGCATATACATGACTCGTTTGCGCAAATGACGGTCTGGCGCATAGGGACACAAGATTTGGTGTAAACACTAGCGGATCAAGCAAACTCTTTAATGATTACCTCTTCGCACAAGTTCCAAGTGATGGTCGCATGCTAGATAGGCAGTACCTAGGTAGCTACCCAGGTACCTGAGGCGGCACAACGTTGGAACAAAGGAGCCCAGAGTGGAATCGTCCGTGCGCCCAGCAACACTAGGCATCTGTACACGATGGTGAGTCCGACGCACAACCCTACCACAACCCACGATGGACATATCTGCGCTAGTAAATCACGATGGGGAAGCATCGGTGCTACCGCGCCGTTCACTCTCCCACCCCCATTCCCTTCCCGCATCCTCCCCTGTCACTCCCGCCGCAAAGATACCGACGCCTAAACCCAGCCAGCAGCAGATGTCGCTGAAACGGAAGCGCCATGACCCCAAGCCCATATGGGCGTATCGCGAAGGCGAACAGCTTCCACCTGAGCTCAGGCAGCTGCAAGAGCAACAACGTCAACAGTCGCGTCCCCCTCCGCCTGCTGTAGTCCCCCAGGCACACTCACGCGCGCAACCTGCGCTTCCATCGCACCCTCCTCCGCCGCGACCTCAACCGTCTCCGAACGCCGAACGAAACGGACACGCGCACAGCGATGCCGGCGCGCCTCCTCCTCCAGCAGCCACTGCATCTGGACTCTCTCGCTTCGCGCGGCCAATGTTCCACGATGCGCAACTCTACGACGTCGTCGCGCACGAAGTATGCGAATTCATCTGGGCCACAGCCGTTAACAACGAGGCGGTACGGAACGCGATCGCAGATCCAAAGGTGCAACTGGAAGTCGAAGCGCGCTGGGGTCAGATCCTAGAAAAGCAGACTGACCAGCGACTGCGCGGGGTCTGGAACACAGAGTGCGTTATCAAGTCTGAAGCCTTGGATGTCAAGTTCGAAAGCACTATGACTGCTCTTCAACACAAGCGCATGAACCACGCCCTCAACGCGCAGGTCCAGCAGTCGAAGATACCCGGTGCTCCGCGCCCGCCGATCGATTACCGACATACCTACGAGACGGACATGTTCTACGAACTCGACCAGGAAGGCTTTTCCACGCTGAATCCTATAGTTCAGCGTCTCATCAGCGCATCCGGTACCCGGCAGAAGGTCCGCGTAACCCGCGACAAGAACACGGGCGACTTCGTGCGAGCCATGATAAAACATCGGATAGGGAACCTCGAGATCAGCTCTCCTAAGACAGAGTGGGACTATCGCATCGGTATCAACCTCGAAATCGACTTCCCAGGCCCGGTTGACAGCCTCAAGGCCGCGCTAGAGCCAGGAAAGACACTGGAGAGTATGCAGCGACAAAAAGACCGCATGTCATATTCATGGCTGGGCGCATACCAAATTGATCTCACGCAGGTCACACAAGGGACTAGCAAGAACCATGAGCTGGAGTTGGAGTTGGATTCTGATATTCTCATCGCTGAGGCAGACAAGGTGAGGCTCAAGCAGCCTACCGAGTTTGAGGACATAATCAGCGGAATGATGAACAATCTGCGGGTTGCGTCACGCATCATCACGCATTCCGCTTAGGAAAAAGGGGGGGAATCGAATACCTTGGAGCCTACATTGATGCTAGATGTTCAATCATGCTCATTTTTGTCCCAATGTAGGCGCCAGGCCTGTCAGTTTCTGCCTTGTATGAGGTGCTTTGTATTATTATTATTTGATCTTTGCGGCGTTAAATATGCAGAGGCACAACGAAGATGGGACCAGCAGCATTATACGGAGTTAGTCTTTAGAATTAAGATACCCAGTTTCACCTACCTCTCATAAAGTATCACTCTCGACACAAGCCTAGGATGTTCACAAACTCCTTGTTTTATGCTGATGTAGACTTTAGAG